CTACGGGGGGGGGGAGGCTTTCGGGCTGAAGCCCCCCCCAAAATGGTAAAATATAACTATTTTTTATGGGAAAATATATTAATAAATTATCTCTTAAAGTATTATTATTGGTGTAATTACATTTAAAAGGGCTTAAGGGATCACTTAAACACGATTTCATATAGATAGCTAGTTTCTTTCTTTTTTTCCAAGGTAATTATAGCCATTTTTATGAAAAAAAAAGCTTTCGGGCTGAAGCCCCCCCCAAAATTGAATCCTGGATCCGCTAGTGGTAGTTTTAGTTCAGAGAAGAACATAAAAAGAGTAATATCCATTTGGTATTACTTCGTGCAGTCCATTATGGAGAAACTTTTGAATCAAAATCTAAGTAGAAAACTAAAGAACGTGAAGGATGCGCGGCACTTGTTCATAATCTCTAAGTACCCAAAATAAAAAGCCCTAAATACTTAAACTACTAATAAACGCTTTTATGAATTTTAAGTGCGAATCTAAAACATTTGCTAAAAACATTAATCAATTAATTGTAAAAACATATTTATTTATGCTTTATGAAATTTCCAATTAACATTATACGGCTCTAACGATTTTAATGAAACTTTCTTCTAATTTTCTACTTAAAGTCTTTTAAATTTTCGTATTTTTAGTGAATTCTCGAGATAATTCAAGAAAAACGTGCTGAATCTTCATCTGAATCGGACCAGTTTTACCTCTTATAGTATATATATTTATTGTTTTTTATTCGCTGATTTTAAGGTTCACTTGCCCGTTTACATTGCTTGTTTTATCCAAGGAATCGTACCCTAATGATTTCACTGATCGATGAAAACAAATGAGTCTCTTTCAATTGTTTTTTTTTTTTTTTTTCTAATAGGCACATTACTTTTCATTCCATATAATCGGAGGGATGGAGGATCGTTATCACTATCTTTCTTGATTCTTTATGTCTATGTCAACAAAACATCTAAATATAGTTATTTTATAGCGTTTTTCTAATATTTAAAGTACCATATTAATAGCAATATAGCAATAAACTGATAGTCAATTCCAAGATTCATGCGCAAGACCATGACTAATTGTGCAAGACCAAGACCAAGGTTTGTTGACGCAAGACCAAGACTAAGACCTTGGGAACGGAAGTGGCAGCTACCTATCTACACAGATGGGCGTCTTGGATTAAGTTTTTGGACCTGAGCTTGACGAGATAACCTTGGATCAGCAGATGCAGCGATGAAATCTACTAACTACACCACTTCACATACCATAATGGCTAAGTTGTAATTCCCAATCCTAATGTTATAATATTTCGTAGCAATAATTCTCAAAACAGTCCATCTGAACTCATGCCTTCACTGAAATAATTATTAAATTCTTTGAATCATGTATTTAGTTCATTGTGTATACTATTTTAGCATTAAGATTTCTATGTTATTTGTATATAATTCTTTATTAAATATAGAAAAAAATTAAGTTTTTTTATTAAAAATTATTTTAATTCTGCCACCTATTTATATCATGATGATCACAGGTTATTAGAAAGCATGATAAACACAAACCGACCTTTGAGAAAAGAAATCTAATTAATTAATCCTGGACCAATCAATATATTATAGATGTCATCTAAATCCTGAAATAGTATTGGAATGCTCAATTATCGAATATGTCGAAAAATATAAATATTTGGGAATGGTACTCGATAAGAAGCTGGATTGGGTTCACCATATAAAAGATTTAAGAGACAAATGTACAGAAAGACTTGGACTTCTTAAGTGCATGCTCATTCTTGATTGACAAACTCTCATCAAAATATATCATAGCGTAATCAAGTGAAATTGAATATGGGTTCCAAATATATGGAACAGGTAACAAAACACCATTAAAAATTTTAGACGTGATCCACAATTCGGCTCTCAAAATATGTACAGGACCTTTTCGAACTTCTCCAGTCGAAAGTTTATACGCCGAATCAAGAGAACCATAGAGATAAGGTGAGAATATTTATCAATAATATATGTATCAAAGTTAAAAATACGCCCACAATGCCCTTTTGGTACAAAATTATTTGTTGAAGAATCTGAGTTGCGAGGACTTAAGAACATAGAAGGAAGCAAATTTTAACAGACGGCTTATAAAACATTATGTGATACGAAAATGGATTTGAACACAATTATGGATGAGAGCATCGGACTCCAAAAGCGTCATGGCAGCAATTGTTAACCCATGGCCAAGCAATACTCTAATAAGAGATATATTGAATATATGGCGAGGATTGAAAAAAAGGACGTTCAATGTAGTATTTGTTTGGGTTCCATCTCATAATGGTGTCTTAGGCAATGAAAGAGCAGACCAACAGCTAATTTAGCAAGTAGGGAGAGGTACCAACTATAATTTCAATAAGCTGTACCTCAGTAGAAGAATGTTCAGTTCACGATACAAAAAAAGAAATTGTAGGAAGATTGGGAAACCAGGTGGAAAACTAAACAGTCGAAACTATTAGAAATAAAAACAGAGTACAAGAAATGGATTACAAGCACAAGAAAATCCAGAAGAGAGGAAACCGAAGAATGGGGTTAGCAGAACGGGCTAACGTGTGTGCATAGCACCACCGTTGTTCCGGCAACCTGATACATGAAAAATTGAATAAAAATAGTCACGAGTTCGCGTCCCGGTGCCGGGGTAGTCTTTTAAATCTCCACCCTCACCCCTTGGTCCGGGAAAACCTCGTGTAGCCTTAAAGGGGATGAAGGGAAGGACCAAAAAAAAAAAAAAAGAAGAGAGGAAATTATGTTGTGCCGAATATGAATTGGTCACTGCCTGTTTAATCACAGTTACCATTCTTAGAGGACTAAAAGCATCACTTGCCAAAAGTGTGACAATAAACCGCAGTCGGTAAAACACCTATTAGTAGTGTGCCACGAGTTTAAAAAAATTCGAGAAAAACTGAAATTACCAGTGACACTGAAAGAAATATTGGGAGACAACGAGGATGGAGTGACCACACTATTCCGATACTACTTAATAGTAATCCAATACTACAATGTAGTATAAAAAACTTACCGCCAATGACCCCCTAGGATTTGAGGGTATTACAAATTTAAAAAAAAATATTTCGTTCCAAATTATAATTATTTTATACTAGAAGTGTGCTTGATTTTTATTAATAATAAGAATAATATTATTGAATATTATTAAATCATGCTGAACATACAGATAAATACATATATTGATAATTACCTCATTACGAATTAGAAATGCAAATTTAAAGAGAAAAAACAAGTATTTAAATAATCTCAAAATTTATTTTATTTACTAAACCAAACATGAAAGTTGAACATCAAATGAAATTTTTGATCTGCAAATTGCTTTGCAATGAGCAATTTTTTTGGCAGCTTCACAGCGTCCCTTCACATATCCAGGACATGATCAATCCAGCAGGTTTCTTGGGCCAACGCCCACGTAATCGTCATGGTGGGCTGTAGAGGTTTCTTCTACATTTAGGATTTCTGTCAGAGAATTCATGTTGTACGTCAGTCTTTGGTGAAAGTTATTGTAGTTTTCGTTTGCAGTGTCTAAACTTGTTTGGATGTTTAAGACTTTATGTGTTATAACATTTGCGACATGACTAGAACAAGATTAGATCATCCATTGAAAATTAGATCATCCTCAGCACTAACTTCAAAACGCCTAAAGACTTGGACGACGCAGTTTATCACCTAACACAAACTATACAAAATTCAGCACGGGCTTCTAACATCTCTGACAAACAGATAGACAAACATGACCATAATTATATTTCATCGGAGATGAGAAGCCCCATACCGCTAAAACGAAAAGATCGTAAAATATGGCCAAGAAATCGTCACCCATCTGACAAACTTCACAATGAAATAAGACGTATAAAGACAGAAAATTTTGACAACTTCTTGAATGGTTTAGCAATTTGTGAAAAAACCACTTTGGAGTATAACCAACCGGATTCTACAGCATTATGATGTCTCACATTCAATTAGACATCTGATGATTATCCGGCAAAATCAGATGCTTGTTCGCCACCTCGAAGAAACATTTAAATCTCATGATGATTTAAAGGACAAACTCTCTACTACAATTGCTCAAAATCAACTTAACGTACTCTTACCTATGATATTATCACCAACATCAATTCATCCTTACGAAGTTCAAAATTTTATTCAGAGCTTGCCTATGAATAAAGCTCCGGAACTTGACTTAATAGCGAATTTCTTCATTAAAAATGAACCTTATTTTTCTAACAAATATATACAATTTTATTCTGAGGATCTCCAATTTCCCAACCCTTTGGAAATATTCTTAAGTTGTCATAGTATTAAAAGCTAACAAATCCTCCGACTCTCCAAATTTCTATTGTCCCGATAGGCTTCTTCCTTCCCTTTTAAATTGTTAGAAAAAAAAAATATACTTCGTCGTCTTGATTTTCTTGATATATTTAAATTTATTCCAAACTATTTTTCACCATTCAACCAGTTTTCAGTATCATTCAACTGTTCAACAATGCTATCAATTAGTAGATTATTTTTCTAATTCTTTAGAATCCAAAAATTATTGTTCCGGAGTTTTTCTTGACATCAGTCAAGCTTTCGATAAAGTTTGGAGTGAAGGATTGCTTTCCTAACTTAAAATTTTACTTCCTCCGACCCATTATCTAATCTTACTCTCATATCTAACGATCAGACATTTTGTAGTAAAAGTAGGGACAAAACGGCCTGACATTAAGTCTAATAAAGCAGGAGTACCTCAGGATAGTATCCTTGGACCAATATTGTTTAATATATATATGTTAGACCTATGGAACTCAACTGGCTACTTTTGCTTACCATACCGCATTCCGTCGCTCAGATAAAACCCTTGTTTGGATTTCAAAGTAATATAGAATTATATAATCTTCTTAATTATCACATAACCATTTAATATTCATTATATGATAATTGAAGCTCAGGTTCGTGGATTTCCTCCTTTTTATAGGTGTTTGTGTTTAAGGAAAAAAAAACAGTTCTCAAGAATCAACACGAGTTATTCTCAACCTAATTTTTTTCCTTTTCGAAGGTAGTGCCGTTTTTGTAAAATCTTTTTATGACAACAAAATAAGTTAGAGCTGAGTACAATGGGCGTAATTTGAGACATTATAAGAAGTGGAAAACAATAACATATCTTGAGAGATATTTTTGCACCATCGACCTTGTAGGGTGGGCGTTCCTGAATCTATTAGGCAGTCGTTTTTCAATTTATTTTGAATAAATAATGGTATATAAAAACAAAACCCTCATTAAACTTAACAAAATTTATTTACAAATAAAATTCTTGAACAGTTACAGACATTTGTTGCGTGATTTATTATTGATTCATAAAATTACATTTTTGGCAATTAATAAAATTAAGTAAACTCATATACAAACGTCAGAATCACAGCCTTATATCACAGAATCTTCTTATGAGATCTTCACAGGTGAGGATGGATGAGCAACCCAATAAACATCAAATACTTTTACAACTGTGACGCTGAAACAAAAAATATGTAGGTTAAGTTAGGAAATTATTAAAGTAAACTAAAGAAAATATATATATATATATATCATATCATATCAATTAATTTATATTAACTAAATTTCTAAGATCTACCAAGGAAGAATTTAGGTTCTATTTTTGCCTGAAGACAAATCCATACGACAGGCATATCATTTACTAACGTTAATTCGACTTAGATGAAATTTTCAGGGATTGTGTGCGCTGGTATCTATGTGGAGGCGAAAACGTTTTTTATTTATGTGCCTATATATAGAGGCGGGATGGCCGAGCGGGTTAACGTGGTATTATGCTCACGCCTGGCAACGTGATGGAATATAAGTTTATAAATTAATTACGAGTTCGCGTCCCGGTGCCGGGGAGGGGTCTTTTAGCTCTGGTATCCGTAATCCTCCGCCCTCACCACCTTACCCGCTAAAACCCCTTACAATCAAAAAAACAAGAAAGGGAAGGAAAAAAAAAACATATGAATGACCGAATATGTGCATTGGAAGGGATGGCACTCCTCAATACTTATGTATGGTACCTTTTTTGTTGATAACTCCTTGAAACACACTGTGATGGCTTGATGGTGAAAGAAGCTACTTAACTTCTTAATGAATGATATTAACTAAACCTTAATTTAGGAATTGTTTCCTGACTAAGCCCAACAATTTTACAAGCCCATTATATTAACCGGATAAAGTTCACGCAATTCGGCATTGCGTAACCGTCTTAACTCTTCGGTTCGAATATTCTACGCAATACTTTATTTTCAAAAACCTTAAGAAGTTGCCCATCCCTTAATGTGAGCGGCCAGGTTTCACACCCATAAATAACTGTAGGTAAGATAATGGTTTTATAGATTCTAGTTTTTAAGTTTCGGGACAAGAGGCGCGAGCTTAGTAGTTTTGTCCCAGAAAAACAACAAACATTTATCGTAGACCCTAGATATCTAAAGTTCTCTATGTGTTCAAACATATTATCTTCTATATCGATATCAACGCCAATATTGCCATTTTTGCAGCAAACCATATATTTTGTCTTATCCGTGTTCATTTCCTAGTTCGTTACCGGCCTCCATTAAAGTTTTCGTATGTAGTTTTATAGTTACCGTGTTTTGGCTTAACAAGAACAGATCATTCGCACAGCAAAACACGAGTGTTGTTCCACCCAAATCCAACCCTTTTTCGGCACGCATTATCCCCCTAATACCAAATTGTTCTATACTAAATTGTTCTAGTACCAAATTGAACAGGACAGGCGAAACGGAATCACCTTGTTTTAAACCCGAACGAACCTCATACTTTTCTGATAAATTATTACCGATTCTAACTTTATTAACTGTTCCGTCAAGCACATTCTAACTAGATTTACTTTTTTTTTTTTTGGAATCCCCTGCTCGATTAAAATATTATACAATATCTGGTGGTCAGTGAAATCGTTAGACTCTTTGAAAATCGATATATAGCTGGAGAACAACAGCTTTCTTAATCTAATTAACATCATAATTTAACAACATCTTTCTTTAACAAGTCTTTTTTTTTTACGTAAAGTAAGAAAAGAAATACACTCGAAGGTTTTAATGACTTAAACTACTATAAAGTCCTAAAAATATAGAGTCACTTCAAATAAAGTATATAAAAAAAAATGAAGTGATCGAGTAAGCTATGATAGATTTTCATGGAAAATTTTGGCTTATTTTTTTTTTTTTTATAACCCAGAATATTACTATTGATGGATTTTTCAAAATGCGAAAGACAATTATGAACTTAATCTGTATTAAATTTTTTTTTTATATCCTTTACTTGTAACAACTACATGTTTTTTTTTTTGGTTTTAGTTCATTAATAACACTCGAGTGAGAATAAAAAATAAATAAAAAGTGTGTTTATGTTTTATTTAGATACAGAATAATAAAAATAAAATATTTTTTAAAAATCAATTTTTTTTTTTTTTACGGCTCCAACGACACATTGAGATGAAAGAACATGTATTCAATATTTGAAATGAAGAGAATCACTAAATAAATTTTAGTTAAAATTGATGATTCATTGACTCTCTCCCCTCTCTCCTGACAAAATTTATTAAAAGTTTTTACTTACTAGAATACGACTTTTCCTTTGAAGTTTTGAGGAGCAGTCCAAGTGACGGTTACCTTATTCTTGTCCTTGGCGTTTGATTGAGTGACGGTATTCTGTTGAAATTGGTAAAGGTTAATTAATTATTGTACTTAAAATAAATAAAAACATGCCAATATAAATATTGAAACTTAATTATTAAATAGTTACATCAAGACCTATTTATTTATTTGAAGCCCTGTTTTTTATGGATTCGGCAGCAGAGTTTCCATTTTGGTTGGAGGAGGCGATTAACCCTCCCTATAAGAAGTCTCGGGAGTTTATATTATGTATAAACGTATGAGTGATAATTAACATAATTGTTGTATAACGAAAAAAATAATACTATATAAAAATAAATTTATATGTATGTTTATTTATTACTATTTTTTTTTTACTTTCATTTGCTATATATGAAAAATACAGAGTGTTTCAGGGTTAAGTGACCAAACTGAAAATATGAATTAATGATCTCAAAACAAGAAAAAAAAATTTCTATGAAGGTATGTCCGCAAACGCTTTGTTTAGGAGATATTCACACCTAAAGTTTTTCATTGTTATGAATTATTTACGTTATATTAAGCAAATAAAACTTATTTGTTTGTTTCAACTACTTTATTAATTAAATGTAAACATTAAGTGCGTATTAAATGTTGTTCAAACTGATTTCCTTGAACATTAAGACAGGCTTACCATCTTTCTTTAACAGCAACATTGGCAGAACGGTAATGGATATGTGTTATTGTTTCATAGGATTATCCTTCTTCGTAAGAAATTAAGGACATTGACCGGACTTGGATAGAATTTTTGTTAAATGTCACCCCAAGCAAAATAATACAGTGGTGACAGGTCTGGAGAGCATGCAGACCAAGCCACTGTTCCTGCAAGGCCAATCCATTGATTGGGATAATTAACATTTAGCCATTGACATGGACCTCTTTAGTGGTCGGGTGTTAAGTATCAACCTGTTTAATTTAAACAGTTTCTTTCATTAAACAGCTACAGTAAACTAATTCACTCGAGATTAAACAGAGACAAAGATTACCTTCCATTAGGAGGGGCAAGTTGTTCTTAAGACCAGCACTGAACTCATCGAATAGATCTTTAAACAGAGCAAAATGAAGGCATTGATGAACTCAGTGCTGAGTTTAGGAACCTACCCAAGACAATTCACTTTACATGTTAGTAATAGTGGAGACAGAGATCCCAACGGGAAATGAGGGAAACACTGAAGCTGTTCAATTTAACCAGCTTTAGGAAATAGCTACAGAAGCTGTTTAATTTGAACAGTTTTCCGAAACAGCTACAGAAGCTGTTTAATTTAAACAGATTCTTGCAACAGGCATACTGTTTACTGTTTAGTGAACAGTTTTATCGACTCCTTTTCCTATCTAATTACTATATGTTCATTATTTTCACTAATAAATTTATATAATTCCTTTAAAATATGTTATGATTCAAAATTATAATCTTAATGTTACTTTGTCTTTTATCAGCAATTATAAATACTTTTTCTTTTGCCCCACAGTTGATATATTTTGAAGGTACAATTAAATTGATAATTATTTTGAAGCCAAAAATTATAATCATCAGAAACTAATTATTTATTTAATAAGACAATTTTTTTGTCTTGTTCACTTCACTCTATAAATATTGTAACTAATTAATTTATATTTAATGTAAGTTAATAATTTCTAATTAATGTAAATGAATGATTTATAATATATGTAAGCGTGAATTGTTAATGCTAATGTAAGCAAACAGAGGACTGCGGTCTTTTTTTTTTTTTTTTTTTTTTTTTGCTAACAGTCATATCTGTTTTTTCGAAAATGTTTTTTTTAAAGCAGCAGAAACAGTAGCAACTGGTACTGATATATAACACCTTGAAACTGGTGCTGGAAATGATGCTCATGAATTGCATGGGGATTTTTCTGCGACCAGAGATGTTATTTTTCTGATTGAACATACCTCTTCTTGTAAAGGTAGCTTCATCTATCTAGAGAATTTTTCCTAAAAATTGTGGATGCTCAACTTGATTTAAGTACCAATGTTAATGTTTAAATTTAATTAATAAAGTAGTTAGAACAAATAAATAGGTTTTATTTATTTCATATAACGTAATTAATTCATAAGAACGAAAATCTTTTGGTGTGAATATCTCCTAAACAAAGCATTTACAGACATACCTTCAGAGGAATTTTTTTCTTGTTTTGAGGTCCTTAGTTCATTTTTGCAGTTTGGACACTTAACACTGAAATAACCTGTATAGTAAGGTAAAGTATTAGGGTTAATTTTTTTTACAGATGTATTTAAAAATATGTTAACAAAGCAATTGAAATATATTATATATTTTTATTTAAAAGTTTGAGGCAGTGACATGAACTCTCAATTCTTCGATGCTTCAAATTATCCCCGGGAAATATGATAAAATATTCACATAAAAATGGAAGGGTGCACAAGAATGAATCATAAAATCTTAAGATGGGGGGGAGGGACATATGGTCTTAGCTTAGCGATCTAGTCGACTTTTCATATTTCCTTAATTGATTTTAGTTTATTAATTGTTATTGATTTTGATTCTATTTTTGTTTTTTGAAATATTGGTGGAGCCGAAACAATATTCTTGTCCCCTCTCTATTTTTATTGAAGTAGCAATGACCTTCCTCCCACTCCGGTTTCCGTCTGAGTCTATGGCTACATTCCTTTGAATTTAAACTAAAATTTCAATAATAGAAACATCGGGTGTGGTAAAATACTTGCGTAAATACATATAGGCCTTAGCTTAGCCATAGAGGGAGATCGCCCTCCTGCTTCCTGAAGGATGCGCCATGGCACCAGTAACATGATGCTAAAATGCGTAGAACCACTGATGTCAATTTTTCTTCTTCATTAAGTTAAGATACTAAGATGCTTTCATGATTAAGACCTTATATAGCACTTCCCTTAGGTCTGGTAGTCTGTCTGATTGGTACAGGGCCTCATTTTCTTCTTTGAACTCTGAGGCTTCCGCAACTTTCCATCCATAAATAAAATGTTTGAAGGATTTTGAAATTTTCCTCATTTACTGAATAGAAAACACATTTTCATTGAAGGTATAGATTCATTATAGCCCTTAACGCCTCAAATGCCATTCAGGCTATGTAATCTATGATTTCCAAAATACCACAGGCTGGACATCTGATATAAGTATTACTTTCATGGCCAATGAGGAATTAGGAGACCCAATAATTTGGGAGGGCCCACATTGTCTTTAGTCTCAATTTCACCGAGGCAAAATACTTTAGTGCTCTCCCTTTCAGGGTAGTTACCTACTGCTGGTCCCATTGTTCAATTGTGTTCTCTCAATTTATCTTCATATGGTATTATGAAATTAATATTTATTTATAATGATGTAGAGTTGGTTGACCGTTGATATGATATGAGAAGGAATTAGTCGAGGGTGCGGTCAAAAAAAATAAATAAAAAAATTAAAATATATAAATAATTTTAATTTTTGCCGACGTTTCGACCCACTTTGCAGGTCGTCTTCAGGGCGTTGGATGTGGCACTGCGGGAGGCGGTTGAAACACTGCAAGTGTTTCAACCGCCTCCCGCAGTGCCACATCCAACGCCCTGAAGACGACCTGCAAAGTGGGTCGAAACGTCGGCAAAAATTAAAATTATTTATATATTTTAATTTTTTTATTTATTTTTTTTTGACCGCACCCTCGACTAATTCCTTCTCATAATATTTATTTAGGTGGTAGTGACATACTTCAAATCAGTGTTTTTGTAGTAGATAATAGATATTTGTCATATTAGTACAAATGTCAAATTATCACTTTTACAATCAATGAAAGAAACAGAATAATTTTAAAATTATTAATAAAATTTATAATTATGGGTATTAATCATGAACGATTTCACTACCACTTACATAGAGACACTAACACATAAAATTAAAAATATTAACATGATAACACCCGTAGGAGGCTCAAAAGAAGCTGTATGAGGGATCTGCTACTAAATTCAAGATAGAAAGGGATGCCGCTAGCAACTTCTCTCCCTCATGCTCTCAAAGTCATTCACTATTCTATTTCGTAACAGCACTTGTCTGTATTTCTGACTGGTATGAGTGGAGGACACCGGACTATTGGGTCTCGCAATTCCTCACGGGGCATGGGGAATTCCGAGCAAAGCATGTTCAACATGGTGAGAAGATTGATCTCCTATGGCCAAGTTGTAGGGTACCGGAGACCGCCGAGCACGTCTTACTAGTCTGTACCTCCTATGAGGCACTGAGGGCTAAATTACTGAGGGAGACTGGGCTCTATGTCTTATCGGAGACGTCATTCGCCCAGTCCACTTCTATTTGGGTAGAAGAGAAGAAGCACCACCACAGAGGATGGAAGAGCCAAGATAAGCAGAAAATCGAATTGAATCGATTGCAGTATTGGCTAGTTATCCATGCACGTGTAGCTATCCTCTACTGCAAATACTCGTATTGCCTAACTGACAGGGTAGAGATTTAAATAAATAAAAATAAATTTTAAAAAATGTATGAGTGGAGGAATAAAGTTAAAAGAAAAAAAAAAATTTGCCGTTATCAAAGCATCATAAGGAATTAATTATTTATGTTTTCAATTCTGTCATATTTTAAGAAAATAGAATTTTCAAAAGATTAAAGTTAATATTGAGAAACAGTGCTAATTTTATATTATTATATGAGTATATTAAACATCTACAACGTATATAATTGAAATATTTCAAGTTTTAGAATTCATCAGTCAACATTTTATAAGTTTTCATTTATTATTTTTCTAAAACAGAAAAAAGTAAAAAATAATACAGATATTGAGTTGTTATATAAACAATAAAAATGCATGAAGTATCAGTTGTAGCTCACACAGAGAGGGAACAGGTATTTATACTTAAACTAGCTCATGCATACGAAACTAAAAGCTTTTTCTATAAATTGTTTGTCAACGTAGACAGCCATGGTTTTTTTCTAAAGTATATCTTAAATATTAGAGAAATTCTATTGTGAAGTTTAAAACAGATATTTAATAATAATTATAATAATACATGTAAAATAAACATGTGTCTATGTAAATATTGTATATTTTACTTACAGCAGTTCCAGTTCCACAGTCAAGAGTGTGGCTGTTGTTATCTGGGACAGTAAATTTACCAATTGGTTTATTTTCTGATCTGGCCTGCATCATATAACCTCTGAATTGGTGTCCATCTTTTCCTTTAAAAATAATAAAAACATTCTTCAGTTTCAATCCAAGAAGATAATGCGGGAATATCAACTGGTGTAAAACTTTATTAACGTTAAATAATAAGAAAATAATCATTTTGTATTTTACAATGTTTTCAATTTTTTATTTTGCAAATAATTATTATATTTCATTATTTTCATATATAAATTTAATTTCATAATGTTAACATAATTTACAAAGGGTTACACCAGAAAACAATTTAAACACACCAGAAGCTAAAACTATTTGTAATTGAAATAATTTACAATCAATCAACAATAAAGGAAAAGAAACTGCACATAAAAAGCAATAACCATAAAACTTAATTTCAGAAAATGGAAAACAAATAATACAAAAATTCATTACAGAATTTATATTATCATGGATTAATTGCAAGAAATCATTAAGTTACATTTTATAAAATAAATAACTATATGCTTTAATAATTGTGCACTCAGTTTTTTTCATTTTGATACACTTACTGTGTTTTTACTTTGCTAAAGAAGGTCAAAATTCACAAAAATGAAGTGGAAGGTTTAGCTTCAACAAAAATGTACTTAGTGACTTTTTTCTAAGAAACCATTGATATGAATGTTGCAATCTAATGTATTCATAAATATTGGACTAATTACCAATGATGGTGACTGTTGTCGATTCACCCCCTTTGAGATCTGGTTTCTCAATCACAATGTCATATGGAAATTGTCCATTTTGTGGCACAGCACCATGACCAGGTGCCATAGTTTCACATACATCAGTTGGGGCTCCAGTTGGATATGCCCTGATTCCGGCTATGACAGCCACAACTGTGAAAAGAACTTTTGTGGAGTACCTGAAACCAATAATAATAATTTAAAATGACAAATATGACAGCTTATATCAACAAGAAAAAGTATTTATTGCCAAATAACCATTCACTATTAGGAATGTCCAAACAACATTCACCTTGTCACCTGCTGGCATAATAGTATAACGAAGCAAATAGCCTAATTGATAGCAAAGAAAAACTGAAAATCAGATACTTATTGGTGGATCGTTTGTATAATAAGGAAAATGATGGTCATTTTTATGACCATAGATAGTTTATAACATAGAACAATAAAAACTATTTATAAAGCCTATGTTTCGACCCAATTATGCAGATCTAGATTAGGGTTAGAAAGACCACAGTTCAAAACTGTAGAATAATATATAAATAAATATTAATTGTAGTGTAAATTAAAATTGTTTATAATTACCAACTTTAACCGTCTCTGTAATAAATACTTTGTTTTATATTTGAATGTCCTTACTATTGTTTGTTTACTCTGTTAATTATTTTCTTAATGTCTTTGTATGATTAATCTCATAACTCTTACATTACAAGAGTTTTATCTCTCGTTCTTTCTAACTCTGAAGAAGACCTCCATAATTTGGTCAAATCATTGGCTTAAAAAATAGTTTTTGCTATTTAAAATTATATTACACGAAGAAAAGTGCTTAGATACAGAGGGCTCAACAAAATTTATTGGCACTATAGTATTTAGTGGAACTGAGAAGGGAGCACTAATTGTACATCCTATATTATTGTTTTAACTTATGTTTAAATGAATAATCAAGATCAGGATCTCAAAATACAGCCCCTCCTCCCCAGAAAAGAAAAGGTTTCTTACAAGAAAAGTTTTGAGAGAACTTTTACGAAAGTAGATTTTCTGCAAAAGATCTTTAGTTTGGAAATTTTGGAACCATTTCTTCCTTTTATAAGTTATTTTTTAGAGAATCTGAGTATTGAAAACAGAATGAGGAAAATTATTCTAAAATCGTATGAACATCACTATCTGCATCATTCCAAGATTTTGTTTTGTCATTACTCAGAAAGTAAAAAAAGAATTAAGAATTTTCAATATTAGGTGTTTATTTTACTTGTCACATCTAAATCTCTCTATTTTAAGGTAAATAACGGTAATTTAGGCCTATGAAATATTCTAAATTATCTGTGACTAATAAATTAACTATTTACAAATTCCTCATTAAACCACTATGGAAATATGGGATCGAACTATGGGGAACAACAAAGAAATAAAATATAAAAATCATCCAGTCATTCCAGTAAAAAGTCCTTGGAAAATTGTAGACGCACCCTTTTATGTTTCAAACTTCACGTTACACACTGACCTTAACACTCCTTTCATCGCAGCAACTACCACAGACCGCTTTAATAATTTTCATGACCGAATGACTCTAAATTCCAATCCACTTAATTAAGCTCTATCTACTGCCACAAATCCATATAATCCGCCCAGAAGACTGCTGAGGCGCTGGCCAAGAGACTTATTGCATTGAGCTACTTGCTGCATTATCTTTTATTTTCTGATCAAAATTTTTTTTATCACAATTTATTTATTTATTTATTTGATTTTTTTTGTTGCCTCTACCCTGTAGGGTCATTGGCAACACCTTTGAATTACACTCTGTTGTAGAATTTTATTACTTTTAAGAACCTTAAAGTTTTTTTACTGCACTTTCATGGTCTTGTAGGTTTTCTTTTAGACTCTGTGCCATGTCTAACTTTTTCCTTGTAGGATCAAATGTAGGGCATTCTTGAATAATGTGTTTTACTGTCCTTTGGACATTGCAGTTCTCGCAGGTCGGAGGATCAAGTCCTCTTAGTAGCTAGGAGTGTGAGAACTCACAATGTCCAATTCGCAGTCTGCAAAGGGCTGTCTCCTCTTTTCGAGATGGTCGGTGCTAGGTTTCCCATTTTAAACAGTGGGGTTTAATTTCTTTTAATTTCGATTCTCCTTGTTCCCACTTGTTTTGCCACATGTTCCACACATTCTCCTTAATTTTTTTAACGTAATCCTCTAGAGGGACTTCATTAATTGATTCAACGGATGTTGTATCTGGCTTTCTTGCCATGTTGGCTGCTTGATCAGCTTGTTCATTACCGATGATCCCGCAATGCGAAGGGACCCAAATGAACACTACTTCTTTGCCCTTCTCCCTTAGTAGCCACCAAACGTTTCTTACATCTTTTGCGAGAGAGGTTTTGGGCCTGTTATGTTCAATAGCTAGTAATGAACTCATAGAGTCTGTCACCACTGCCCAATTGATAGTTTCACTTGTCTCCATGTGTTTAAGAGCTTCTCTAGCATTTCGCCAGTAAACACTGAACAAGCCTCCGGAATTTTGAAAAGTTTTTGAGTATTAAAATTTACAACGGAACACCCTACTTCCTTATCAACTTTTGAGGCACCGATCAGATGTGACACTTCTTATATTTTTCCAAAGTTTCTAAAAATAATTTTTGAACTTCACAATTTAATCATTATTATTTATGTAAAACTTTATCACTCAGTGAATGATCATTATTTTTAAACGGTTCAATAAACATCTAAGATCGATTTAAATTTGTATTTATAAATCAGGCATGATTTTTAAATTAAAAATCAAATATAATAATTATTACATGATTTTGTGGAAAAATAATTATCGATTTCAAACCCTGGAAGATTATATCACATTTCCCGTGGCAAATTGGAAACATTGAACAATTGAGTTCTTCTCATTGCCTCAAACTTAAAAATAAAAATATATAATATATTCACATAAACATGTAAAAACATATATATAAATTTATTATTATATATGGTATTTCTCAATGCTCCTTACTTTGTCACAAATAAAATAATCCATAAAGAACTCAATGTTCCATATGATTCCGATTAATATAAATTCCTGAGACTTTTTTTTGGGGGGGGAGAGGGGTTCATTACCCTCTGGTGTCTCTGAGAATACCCATAATTTCGAACTTAATCACGAAAACTTGAACATTAGTGACTTCAATAAGACTGCTATTGACCTAATCCGAAATGATATTTGAATATTTTAGTTAATACGTAAATAAGTTCTAATCTAAAGTAAATAAATCATTTTTTATTGAACATAAAAATTGAGATAATTTTTGTTTATTTCGAATTATTAAGCAGAAACGTTTCAGGAAGAAAATCTGAACTAGCTCAGGAAGATCTCCGAATTTCCCTTTTTATTTTGTGTTATAGTGACTTAAAAGAAAAGATTTGAAAATAAATAAAAGGAACACTGAAACATATCAATCGAACATTCTTAATTAGTTGTTTTTTTTATTAAAAATTAATTTTGTTTAAATAAATATATCAATTATTAAAAAAGTAGAGTCTACCGAAACATGATTCAATTAACCAAAAAGACCAGAGTTTAAAATAAATAATTAAAAATTCAAAATCAAATCTGATAAAAATTTTTATCTGGCGTTTTTAAAAATCATTTAATGATTTTCTTTAAGAAGGATTTTTATTTTTTATCAGAAGTGATAATAATCTTATTTTAACTAAATTTTTACAATTAACAATAATTATAATTCTTGAATAATATTTTCATAAATCAGAAATATAAATTTTTTGTAATCTCTATTTTGGATTGGGATACGGGCGGATCTATGGGAGGGTGGGATAGGGCCTTGGGGCTGAAGCCCTCCTCTCCCACCAAAATGGTAAAATATAACCATGTTTTATGGAAAAAAAAAATATTTAAAAAATATCTCTTAAAGTATTATTGTTCGTATAATTAGATTTAAAAGGACTTTAGGAATCACTTAAACACCATTTCATATAGGTAGTTAGTTTCTTTCTTTTTTTTCAAAGTAATTATCGTTATTTTTATGAAAAAAAAAGCTTTCCGGCTGAAGCCTTCTCCCTTCTTCCCCCAAAATTAAATCCTAGATCCGCTAGTGGATTGGGAGTAGTAGGTGAAGAATATTGTCAACTATTAGCAACAGAACATCTTCATTTCCGAAATTCATTGAAAAATTTGAGTTAAAAAATAATTATGTATACACATATATATATATATATATATATATATATATATATATATATATATATATATATATATATATAGTGAAAAATTCAGAAATATAATATTAAAAAATGTGTACATTATTAATGTATACATACATATTAGTATTTGATATGATATGTGTGTAAAAGGTGATTTTTATTTTCTGTAAACATTTCTTTGATCACAATTTAATCATTATTATTTATGTGAAACCGTATCACTCAGTGAGTGATCATTATTTTTAATCAGATAAATAATTAATAAATCAAGTATCGATTTAAATTTAATAATTATTATAATATAAATATAATAATTATTACATGATTTTGTGGAAAAAATAATTATCTATTTCAAACCCTGAAATAGACTCTACGTCTTCTTAATGTAGTTCAAATATTTAGTTTTTTTTTTTCTATTTGACAGCTAATCAAGATTTGACATGTGTTAGTACATAAGAAAAATATGTTGATTCAAATAGGTCTTAAAATTTGTCTGTGAGGTTTATTTACATTGATTACAATCGATATTTACAGTAAGCTCTGTAGCATATCAGATTGATAGATTGATTGAAGTTTATCGTTACTGTTCCGTTACCGTGGGCGGATCTACGAGGGGGAGGGACTTTCGGGCTGAAGCCCTACTCTAAAATATAACCATGTTTTATGGAAAAAAATTATCTCTTAAAGTATTATTGTTTGTATAATTACATTTAAAAGGATTTTAGGGATCACTTAAACAGCATTTCATATAGATAATTAGTTTCTTTCTTTTTTCAAAGTAATTATCGTTATTTCTATGAAAAAAAAGCTTTCGGGCTGAAGCCCCTCCCCCAAAATTAAATCCTGGATCCCCTAGTGTCCGTTACTATGGGTGATGTTTTAATTACTAATACCTTCCTCAATAACACAAACAGATTTTCTCAAATCCTGAAATTAATATAATCAAACAAACAAAATCCTCATGCCTTAAATGAGAATTTTCTTCACAATGAGATCACATCTACTTATTGTCAATACTATGACAGGTGTGGATAGAAGTATGAAGAGGAAAAAAAATTGGAATAAAAATGTATAGCTTTTAAATGGGACCATGTAAGAGAAATAAATAAGTTTACATCAATAAGGAATCGATTACAATACTCACATCTTGTTCCCTGAACGGATCACTCAAGATTGAACTAAAGCATCCACTCAGCGGCTAAATACTCCGCTTTCCCCACTACCTCAAGCTGCAAGAGGTCAAACAGGAAAAGATTCTTATTAAACTTCTCGGAATACGATCCCTCAGCCTTCTTTATCGCTCCAGGAGAATAACAGGAATAATTCAAGCAGCTTGATCAGGAAAAGGTGTCCATCGCGTCAGTGGAATAGTTTCATTTTCTTATTAGTCTCTTTTTCAGAGAAATATTTGAAATATAGATCTTAAGGTTTCATTTATCATTGAAAAAATGTACTATTATAATATTTTAAAATAAAATATCTATTTGACCACACACTCCATTTTTTTACCACTTTCGGCTGTAGCGAACCAGGATTAAATTTTGGAGTTTCTGCCAGAACTATAAATACTTGAGAAGAAAAAGAAAGAAATTAATTAGCTATATCTAATGGTGTTTACGAGATTCTTGAAGAGCAATTAAAAATTTAACTACACGAACAATAATACTTTTACAGATAATTTTTAAAGTGAAAACTTCTTTAATCCTTTATATATAGCTCACCATTTACTCTTCTCCTCTGGATAAATAAATAATGTTATCGGGTTAGCTCAAGTTGAGTCCCAAATTTCAAAAATGACTGGAATTGGGTCCCGACATATCTTTTATACAGCTCGAATCGAGTTCCGAACCTTGTTCAAGTACTAAACCAGACTCCGGCCTATCAGCGTAAAACAGGCTGGCTGAACAAAATACACTATTTGGTGAATTTTGTAGATACGGTAAATGATTTACCATAAACATTCACAGTATATAATAATAATAATAATAATAATAATAAAAGGCTTAGCGAACCCGAAGGTTCGATGCCGACACCACCAATTGCTTATTACACACCTCCCTCCACCGTTCACCGTCCAAACCCAGTCCCTTCAGATCGGCTTTAATGCAATCTTCCCACCTTCGCTTCGGTCTACCCCTCGGACGCTTACCATTCGGCACAGCAAATATTAACCTTTTAGGAATTCTCTCGTTACTAAGCCCTACAACTTTACACGCCCATTTGATTCGCCGCGATGAAATTACCTCAATTATATTACCCGGATACAGCTCACGCAATTCGGCGTTGTGTAACCGTCTGAACTCTCCGGTTAACTCATCCTTCTTCGGTCCGAATATTCTACGCAATACTTTATTTTCAAACACCTTAAGACGCTGTTCATCCCTTAGTGTAAGCGGCCAAGTTTCGCATCCATAAAGAACTGTAGGCAAGATAATTGTTTTATAGATTCTAGTTTTTAAGTTCCGGGACAAGAGGCGCGAACTAAGTAGTTTTGTCACAGAAAAATAACAAGCATTTCCCGCCTTCAGTCTAACCTTAATCTCTTCTTCAATTTCGTTTTTTCTAGTTATCGTAGAACCTAGATACCTAAATTTATCTACCTGTTCAAACATATTACCATCTATATCGATATCACCAGTAGTATCGCCATTTTTGCAGCTAACATTCACAGTATATACACTAAATAAATTTATACTATACATTACAGTGAGGCATTGAACGATTTAGTGATATTTACAAGTTTAAAATATTTATGCTTGCTGTTTGGAAATTATTTTCTGGCAATGTTGGACTATTATACAATTTTTTAAGTTCATTTTAATCGGAGTTAAAGCTTAAAGCTTACAGATAACAAGTCATCAAGACCATCAAAATTACAAAAAGTCTATTTATTACATCGACGGTAGGCAATAAAAATCTAGTTACTCTATCTGCTTTTATAACTCACACAACTTCAGCCTCTAAGCCTTTCAGTTGACAGAATGACTAACTCTAATTTCAACATTTGTTAGTGATATTTGTAGTTGCAAACGTTATATCTATAGATACAGTGAGTAAGTTGATTCTATAGTAGGTGATTGTTGTTGAAATATAGAACTGTAAATAAAGGTATAAATTTAGCCACTAGAAACATCACTAAAATTAATAATGAAGAATGTTGAAATTGGAGTCATTCTGTCAACCGAAATGCTCATATATACCTAAAGAGATTTGAAAGTATATCTGATTATTTAACCTATAAATGATAATGGATTGTAGTACTATCAGTTATTAAACTGTTATTTTCCATTGTAAAGTTTACTAAACCGAAATTACGAGATTTTCGTTGCCTGGCATAGATCGTTCAAAAGTCGTCACACTAATTGTAAGTGGATAATGTTGAGAATTCATAAAGGGAAAATTCATCAAATTCTAATCTAATCGAGAGAAGGCCTTCACAAAAATTAGTTTTATTTTTATTAAAACAGGTTTATTTCTGATAATCATTTTTTTAAAATATACTTTTTTTATTAATTAAATTAATCTTTCGCAATGATTCAACCACCAAACATATTTCGGAATTCGATTAATTACGACAATTTTGCCTTGCTCAGTGGTGGGATACAATTCGAGTTTTTGTTAAGAACACTCGGTACCCAATTCGAGCTCTATTGAGCTATCTCATCAAATTTTCAAAATGTTACACCAACCTTCGCTCCTCCTATCCTCAATATTTCTTAAATGTTCGTATCTATTATATGAAAACAAGGTTTTCCCGGAAAATCACCATTACCGTTGGTAAGATAGATAACATGCGACAGCATTATGTCAAGACGTGAATGCTGTCACAATCATACGATCCATTCTATCAACAGTGTCGCCGTGTAAACGGGCTTTATTTATAGCTCATAACTACATGCTGTAAAAACAAAATGAGGTGTGGGAAATCCCGTCTTCATATCGACTGTCAACAAAGAAAACTATGTTATTCCCCTGTTCTATATATCACTATTGGGCCACACTGCATAACAGGATTAAAACACAGAAATAGCATTAATTATAACGTCGAAATATTTATCATACTATGAAATTTCTATTTTGGCTGTCTCCTTTCAATTCGTCCATCAACATAATTTACATTATGAATGAAATAGAAACTAAATATATAAAAAAGGAAAATAAAATCACTTAATTATTAATTTTTATATTTATAAAGTATTTTTACCCCTATTTATATCGAAAAAGAAAAATTAATCTAAAATATATTTGTAGCGATAATTATGTAGAGTAAAGATAAAATCAATCACTAAGTAATAAATTCAAAATTATACTGGAGCAAACAGAGACATCTTCTCTTTTTTTTTTTGCTTTAATTTTTTTATTCACACCTGTCATAGTGGTAATGACAACCAGTGAATGTGAGGTCGTTGGAAAAAATAATTTCATGAAAGGCATTACGGTGATCAGTGCCCAGCGGCACCTCACTCGGCGTGATGTCTACATTAGGCGAGGAGGTCCCTCATCCAGCTCCTCTTCAGTCTCCTACAGAGGTTACCTGGTATATTCGTAGTGGCCATGTCATTTATAAGTGTATTAGGATGTCCCTGTAAGTTGTCATGGAATCGTTTGTAATGAGTTCGTATGTGTTCGTTAACAGTCGGCAAATGGAGGTCAGTATGTAAGGTTATGTTGCTAACGTACCAAGGTGCTTTTGTAATTGTTCTGAATGTTTTTGCTTGAAAGATTTGAAGTTTTTTTAAGTGAGTCTTTTTAGCAGTTCCAAATATCTGTGATGCGTAAGTCCAAATAGGTTTTAATAAGTAATTGTATGTGTTCAATTTCTGTCTAAGTTTTAGTTTTGAATTTTTCGCGTTTTTCGTTTCTTGATTATATGTGGGCCCCACGTCATTTTTCTGTCAAATGTCAGATCAAGGTAGTGAACGGTGTCTTTCTGTGGAATCTGTGCATTCTGAAGGAAAACTGGAGGTTATGTTTCATGTCGAAGCGTAAATGTGATGTGCTGTGATTTGTTTTGATTTAGTCGGATTTTCCAAATTTTGAACCAGTCATGTAATCTTGTTAAATACTGTTGTAGGGTCTGTGAGGCATATATTGGATTTTTGTGTCTTGCTAAAATTGCTGTGTCGTCTGCATATGTCTGCTGTGTCGTCTGCATATGTCGCTGTTAAAATGTTGGGACTGCAAGGTATGTCATGGGTGTATGTGATATAGAGTAGTGGAGCGAGTACTGAACCTTGAGGTACTCCTGCTGAGATAGACCTGATGGAAGATAGTTCTGAGCCGTGTCGGACCGAGAAAAATCTATCGGAAAGGAAGGATTGTAGAATTAGATAATATGTAGGTGGGAGTATTGTCTTGAGTTCAAAGAGAAGACCCTGGTGCCAAACTCTGTCAAACGCTTGAGCAACATCCAGAAATACGCCAGTTGCATATACTTTCTGCTCTAGTGCTGTAGATATGTAGTCCGTTACTCTATGTAGTTGGTGTACAGTTGAGTGATGTACCCTAAATCCAAATTGATGCTTTCAAAAATTTTGGAACAGATAGGTAGTAAGCTGGTTGGTCGGTATGAGGAAGGTGAGTTTTTGTCTTTGTTAGGCTTGTGAATTATTATTATATGTGAGTATTTCCACTGCAGTGGAAATTTAGTTGTCCTCAGTATTGCATTATAAATAGTTGTCAAAAGCAATACAGCTTTTCTGGGCATTTGTCGGAGCACTTCAGCGTTAATCAAGTCATGTCCAGGAGTTTTTCTTTTAGGCAACTTTTTGATTTGTTCAGCAATCTGGGAAGGTGTAAATGAAATAGGAGGTGAAGTTAGTTGTAAGGGCACGTCTAAAGTGTTTAGTAAATTGTTATCGTGCACAGTGTTAGTGAAGTCTGTGTGTGGTGCAAAAACAGAAGAAAGATATTCGGCAAAGAGTTCTGATTTTTCTCCGTCTGTCACGGCCCAGGAATCATCTTCTCTTCGAAGGGCTGCTGACACTTCACGATGCTTAATAAGGTTTTGGTATGTCTCCATCTCCAAGCTTCCATCGTCGGTTAAGAGATTTCTGATGTAGCTGTCATAGGTTGTTCGTTTGAATTTCCCAATCTGTCGCTTGAGTTCATTATTAAGTCTGTTGTAAGTTCGTTTATCTGATGGGAGTCTGTCAGTCTGCCATATTTTGCGAGCTCTCCTCTTCGCTCTGATCAAGTCCCTTGTGTATTGTGGGTACATTAGTAGCAAATCATATTTTTGTAGGTTTTGCTACTGATGAAGACCATGCTGCTTCTTGAATATTTCGTGTGAAGTATTCAATGGCATCCTCAAGAGACATCTTCTCTCTATCAAAGGTATTGACATCCCTAAAAATCTCAATAAATCTCAAATTAAGGGCGTACAATGTTATAACAAAGCCAGTTCTG